TCTCTCTTTCTCTCTCTCTTTTCAAACAGGAAACTTTTCAAGAACGGCTGAGGAGCTTTCAAGTCTTGGGGTGGAAGGAGCAGTCTTCACGGGACACACAGCCGTACTTACCTTTGGACCTTGGAGACCCTGAAAAAGAAAACAGAAGGAGTTGATTAATTCATTAACGGTTCTCCGTTTATTATTACAGCCATGGGCCCACACATCAAATTAAACAATCAATTGTGGAATATTTTTCGCGCCCGGGGCGCAGAATGGGCAACACTCACCGCTTCGCCTTGGCTGCCTTTCTCTCCTTTGGGACCCTGAAAAGGAAGTGAGAAAGGCACACCAATTAAACGTGTAAGACACCAAATGAAAACCTTCAAAGTCTCTGAAGCATGTGTGAATTGGCCGTCAGTGTGAGAAAGGTAGAGAATGGCTTGCCTTCGGGTGTTGTGGGTGCTCCATCACTGGAGGTTGTGTCTGGAATGGTAAAAGGTCTCCTGCTTGAGCAGGGGGTTGGACTAGAAGACCTCCAAGGTCCCTTCCAACTCTGCTATTCTGTTATTCTGCTAGACATACCCAGCTCCTTCAACTGTTCATTATACAATTTAGCCTCCAGACCCTTTATCATCTTTGTTGCTCTTCTCTGCACAATTTAACTCTTCTCTGCCCTCTTCTGACATCGGTTGCAGGAACTGGGTATGTCTAGTTTCATGAAAAGAAGGACTAGGGGAGACATGATAGCAGTCTTCCAGTATTTGAAGGGCTGCCACAAAGAAGAGGGTGGGTCAACCTATTGCCCAAAGCACCAGAAGGCAAGACTAGAAACAATGGATGGAAACTGATCAAGGAGAGAAGCAACCTGGAATGAAGGAGAAACTTCCTAACAATGAGGACAATTAGCCAGTGGAACAGCTTGCCTCCAGAAATCGTGGGCACTGGAAGTTTTTAAGAAGAGATTGGACAGCTATTTGTCTGAAATGGTATAGGGTCTCCTGCCTGAGCAGGGGGTTGGACTAGAAAACCTCCAAGGTCCCTTCCAACTATTCTATTCTATTCTATTCTATTCTATTCTATTCTATTCTATTCTATTCTATTCTATTCTATTCTATTCTATTCTATTCTTCTCTATTCTATTCTTCATTTCTCTATTCTATTCTATTCTATTCTATTCTATTCTATTCTATTCTATCTTGAGAGAAATTTGCTAACGTTAAGAAGAGGAACGAAGGATCAGGAGAGACACTTACAGTGTTTCCTGGTTGACCTGAAATCCCAACTGGACCAATGACACCTTCTTGGCCCTACAAAAACAAACCATCAATCAAGGTTGCACATGTATTCGATGGATAGTACATACCACCAAGAAGATCTTCCACGTCTCTTTCCCAGTTTGATCTCCAGCCCTCTTTTCCTCGGGGTGTCCACCCAGCTACTAGCCAGCTCCAATCCTCCTTAGCTTTTGACTCCAGATGAGGCTGGGACCTTGTTTTTGGATCCATAGCACCAGATGTGTATCAAAGAGCTTTCTCATGTCCAGAAGTTCATCTAAGGCATTTGGACTTTTAGCTGACCCAACAAGGGCTACCAGACCCAGAATAGGAGCTGCTTGTTGCTCCAGGTATTTCACCTTTTCCGAGTAGAGGAAATATTTATCAAGGAAGGAAGGTGGAGGAGAAGACCACTCACCTTCTACCAACCCACCCCTTGGAATAAATCTACTACTTCCTCAACAGAGGAAGTACTTTTCTACTGATTCTTTAGACTGATTCCATCAGATAAGACTGACTGGTTGAGGAATTTGGTGATGTGGTGACCTGGTAGGATATGGCTAAATGTTTAAGCCCCCGAGAAAAAAGGTGTCTCCATCATCATTACCACCCAACAGGTCAAAATCTGGTCCTTTTTGCTGCCCAATTTCAGCAGCTCAGTCATGGGGTGTGCAGAAGACACGGGAATAGAGCTGAGTGCAGCTCACCATCTTTTAACTGAGAAGAAACCAGCTTCAGAGAGCTGAAAGTCAAGGCAAGGACGGTGAAGTCAACTCACCCAGATTCCTTGGGGCCCTTTAGGGCCCTGGATGCCTTTGAAGCCAAGATCTCCAGGTGGTCCCTATTGAGAGAAAGAAATATTGGGTGAAAATATACCAGGTCGGAGCGCCATCCACCCACTGGGCATCATCTCCTTCAGCTATAACCTTCCGCTTTTGAAAAGTAGAACCATTTCAAATCCTCTCTTTCCCTTCCTTCTGAATTGTGACCCTGTCCCCAAACAGAAATTGAAGCTGTACCCAAAATGGGTGGCAGCAAACAAACTGAGCCCATTTCTAGTATCTGTATCCTGACCACTTTTCACAGAGGCACGATGGAGAACGTCTTAACAAACGGCATCACTGTCTGGTTTGGGTGGTAGCAGAGCCTCAGATAGAAGGTCCATACAGAGAGTGGTAAGGACCTTGCATTCCAATTATTTCATTCTTCTATTCTATTCTATTCTATTCTATTCTATTCTATTCTATTCTATTCTGTTCTGTTCTGTTCTATTCTATTCTATTCTATTCTATTCTATTCTATTCCATTCCATTCCATTCCATTCCAATTATTTCATTCTCTGTTCTATTCTATTCTATTCTATTCTATTCTATTCTATTCTATTCTATTCTATTCTATTCTATTCTATTCTATTCTATTCTATTCTATTCTATTCTATTCTATTCTATAATTCTATTCTATTCTATTCTATTCTATATTCTATTCCTTTCCATTCCATTCCATTTCAATTATTTCATTCTCTGTTCTATTCTATTCTATTCTATTCTATTCTATTCTATTCTATTCTATTCTATTCTATTCCACTCCACTCCACTCCACTCCACTCCACTCCACTCCACTCCACTCCACTCCACTCCACTCCACTCCATTCTATTCTATTCTATTCTATTCTATTCTATTCTGTTCTATTCTATATTCTATTCCTTTCCATTCCATTCCATTCCATTCCATTCCAATTATTTCATTCTCTACTCATCTCTACTCTACTCTACTCTACTCTATTCTATTCTTCTATTCTATTCTATATTTCTATTCTATAATTCTATTCTATATTTCTATTCCACTCCACTCCACTCCATTCCATTCCATTCCATTCCATCCCATCCCATCCCATCCCATCCCATGACAGGAGGTTGTTCATGACTGGTCCCACCAACCTGTGCAGCTATCAACCATCTGCAGCTGCCATTTTGAGAGCAGGCTCACCACTCATGCTCAATCTTTCTACGTAGACACAATTCACCAAAATAAGGCCTGTCTCGGATTTAAAGAACTTGTAATGACACTATTAGGGGAACCACCCACTCACCTTTGGGCCAAAGAGTCCAGCAATCCCTGGAAACCCTGATTCACCAACGTCTCCCTAGAAAGATTTTTTTCAAGGAGCAGAAGAAGAAACAACAACACAGAGATGAAGCCAAAAAAAAATAATAATAATGAACAGTCTGAATTTCCCTTTCGTCCTTTGTGAAACTGGCAAAGAACAAAGGGCCCCAAAACCCAGATGGAAGTTTAGCTCTCAAAACAAAGTCATCATCTTCTCCACTATCATAGTTTGGCTTGGAAATAGGTCCGACCGTCTCTTCCAGCTTCTGGAAAGACGGTGAGTTTTGCTGCACTTGATGTCTTAATCTAAGCATATTTGGCAGAGGCTGATCCTCGGGAACAGAGAGGAGATGAAGAAGGAACCTGGCCTGGACACCCACGTTACTTCAGGAAATTGAATGCAGAAGCTCAGATGTTTGGCAGATCTATTCTCTTCACCTGCCCCATCAATCAAACAGCAGAAGACTCGTTTTTCTTGGCCTGAGAGATATCTCAACAGACGTCAGCAGCTACCACATGCATCTACTCACCGGCTGTCCTTTGGATCCTGGATCACCGGAGGTCCCAGGGAGTCCCGTTCCACCTTGGGAACCTCTTTTCCCCAATGGACCAACCTCTCCAGGCGAACCTCTTTCTCCCTAAGAAGCCACCAAAATATCCCATCAACGTACAGATTCCAGAAGTCCTCCAGCCCCTTAGACTGAAGTTCTTTGCCCTTTGTTTGAACCCCAAAATCTCCAAAAATCTGAGAAAAGCACAAAGACTTGGCTGCGTCGTCCACATCTGCAACCTTTAGATGGTGCACCTTGTTACTCCAGGCTACATCCTTAATTTGAGACTGATGTACCAAGAAAGGGGCAGAAGCTTCAAAAAGGTCGCATTCTCAACCTGCCTGTCCAAAATAATAGTGATTGAGGGGTCCTTGGTGCTCTCTGAGCTTGCTTGTTTTCTTGCAGACGTTTCATGACCCAAACTAGGTAACGTCATCAGTGATAGAAGGGAGGGGGAGTTTCAGGGAGGAGGAGGAGGAGAAGGAGAAGGAGGAAGACAACGATTGTGGGTTCCTTGGTGCTCTCTGAGCAGTACTGATTCTAAACTTAACCTGGAAAAGGGCACCTTCCCTGGTAAAACTGGCTAGATTCACATTACCCTAAACCAGCTTGTCATTCTCAATTCTGCTCATTAGGGGGCAATGATGGTCAATGGATACATCCCTGGTTAAGTGAGGGAGAATTAGATTTGCCTTCGCCCAGCCCCCAACTGTTCTGCAACCTACTTGGCATCTGTCTTTTCAACAAGTTCCCTTTTTCACAAAATGTAAGGAAAGAGAAGAACCAAAGGAAAACAGACACTTGC